ACCATCCTGGTTACAAGTCCATCATGTGGCATGTTGCACGTGTTTATTTTTTAAATGCTTAGAGAATTCACAGGTGGCTGTGTGACTGAGATGTTTGTTTTAACAGGCTGAAATCAGGAGGTTATTTACACATGTGCTCTGATGCAATAGGAAAATACCTAATTATTCCATTTGGGGCTCAACTTTTGGTCTCAGTTAAAACTGCTGAAAGCAAAGCTCAAAGCTTCCTACAGAGTGGCTCTCTCCCCATTGCCTGTCTGAGAAGCATGCGCACTAGGCATGATGGCCTAGTCATTCCTCATCATTCATTCATATGTGCAACCCATGAGGATTCAGGCACAAAACTTAGGAAAAGACTTCTTGAAGCTTCTGTGAGCTGCAGTCATAGGATGCATCAAGAAAGGCTAAGAAAACCCCAGATCTATTGCAGCATGCTCCCCAAACTGACTAGCAGTATTCTCTACCTTCCTGTAGAATGTGCTGGCAAGTCAAGTTGTGAGGACCAGACAGCTGGTTGTTCTGCCTCACTGGTTATTGTCATGCATCAAAGCTATGACTGCTGGTCATCTGCCTGCAGAGAGCAGGTAGAAAGAGCAGGGCATTTTTCTAGAAAGCTGTTTGCTTGATTTTTCAATCAAGAGGGTGCTGGCTCATGTGTTAGGGACACAGACTCTAAACCGGAGTGACTTTTTTTTTTTTTTTTTTAAGTGCCAGGTGGTAAATACCTTATGGTTTGTGGGATTTACACTCTCTGTTGTGACTACTCCACTGTGCTTTTGGAAAGTACTCTCAAATGAGTGGGGGTGGTTATGTTTCAATAAAACTTTATTTACTTGACTTTATTACTTGAGAAAATCTGCACTTGTATGGAGTTATATGTGTGTAGGCCATAGGCAGACCTTAGAGGTCATTCCTAAGGAGCCATTTAATTTTTATTTTGAGACCCTTTTCTCTCTTTGGTTTGGAGCTTGAAGATTAGGCTAGCCTGTCTGGCCAGAAAACCTTAGGAATCAACTTATTTCTGCCTCTCCAGATCTAGGATTGTACGCATAAGCCATCATGTCTGGCCTTTTACATGGGTTTGGGTCAGTTGAACTCAGATCCCCATGGTTCCATGGCAATCTCTTTGCTAACTGAGCTATCTCCGCAGCCCTTAATGAAACTTGCTTATAAGAACCGGAGATAGTCTGATAATTTATCACCCTTTGTTCTGTATTCCTGAAAATGTACCATTGACTTCAGAGGAGGAATATTTAGGACATCCATAGAGCTCTGTTGAAGTGTTTATTATACTTTTCATACCCAGGAGTCTACTGTATGTGTATATAATTAATTTGTTGTCAGAAACAAAGAGTGCTACTTCCTTTTGGGGGTGACACAATCTAGATAGTGTTTTTTTTTTTTTTCATGTCAATCCCAGTTCTCTCTCCCTCCCTCCCTGCTTCTCACCCTCTGCCCTCCCTCACACGAACCCTGACCACCTTCCCCTCCCATTCCCCCTCCCCAATTCCACATGTAGGGCAATGCCATCCAGGTGGGGTCATGTAAATCTGTCAAGTCATTTGAAGTAGGGACTAGGACTTCTCTCCTGTCTCTAGGTTAAGGCAGTTATCCCTCCATGGGGGATGTGTCCACAAGGACATTTTGTGCACCAGGAATACATCCTGGTTCTACTGTCTGAGGTCCCTTAGACTACTCAGTCCTTCTAGCTGAGACCCTTATTCAGGGGGTCTGAGTCAGTCCCATGCTGGATTCCTAGCTATCAGTCTGGGGGCCATTAGCTCCTCCTTATTCGGGTCAGCTGTCTCTATGTGTTTCTCAACCTGGTCTTGTCCTCTCCCTCTGCATCTGGATTCAAGTTCGACTCAGTGTTTAGTTATGGGTGTTTGCTTCTGTTTCCAACAGGTACTAGATGAGGGCTTCATGCTTGTGGATAACTTAGTTGTTGATCTCACTGTCCGGAAGGGCATTTATGATAGCCTTTCCACGGTTGCTCAAATTGTTAGTTGGCGGCAGTCTTGTAGGTCTCTAGACCTTTCTTTAGGTTCAGTTTTCTCTTCAAACCAATAATGGCTCCCTCTTTTATGTTTGTTTTCTCTCTCTCTCTCTCTCTCTCTCTCTCTCTCTCTCTCTCTCTCTCTCTCTCTCTCTCTCTCCTTCTTCTTCTATTCCTACCCTGACTCAAACTTCCTAATCGCACGTGCTTTCCTCTCCTTCCCCTCTCTTTCTCCTACTTCTCTCTCCATTCACTGCCCCCCCCACTTCCCCTGTGCTCTGGGGGGTCTTGTCCCTTCCCTCTTCTGTGAGGGACTTTATGTGAATCTCTTAGAATACACTTTGTATCCTAGTTCCTCTGGTGGTGTTGTTAATTGCCTTTACCCCCTTCCTCCCCAAGTCATTTGAAGTAGCTTATAATAAATGTGACTTGATGGTAAAACATATGTTTAACTTGTATTAAACCCTAGTGCCCCCCAAAATAAAAAGAAAGAAACAGAAAAATTGAATGGCGTGTGTGGGCTTGGGCTATCTATCCAATCTTGCCATTCCTTACTCACCTGCCAGCTCAAGCTGGTGACAAGGCCATTTCTGAGTCTGTTCAGCCTTGGGGCACTTCCTAAGTTGATTATTGGTGTGTCTCCCATCTTATCTTCACAAGCATAATTTCCTTTTGGAAAAAAAGAAAAATGTCCCAGTAAGTTACATCAAATCTCCCACTGAAGGAAGTGTTAGTGTTCGTCATATTTCTTTTGACTGAAGTACAGCCAAGAACCATTCCACCAACTAAGTGCGTGTAAAGGAAGGAAAGAGAAAATCATAAGCTAATGAAAGCTCTAGTGGACAAGTATTCAAAATACACTCCAAGGCTCATAGGACTAATATTTCATTAACCAAGGGAACTGTTTCCTGTTTCCTGATTTCTTAAAGACACATCTCTACTCTGCAGGCAAAGAGCAAAGGGGATTATATCACTTCAGTGGGGTAGTTGGAAGTGCTGATTGAGAGGGGCAGAAGAGGCAGGACTTGAGCAGGAAAAGATGGCCATCAGTGGACGTCAGAATGTGACAATAAGGCCAACTGATTTGAAACTCTGCCCATGGAATTGTTCCTCTCAAGATAGTTTTCTGACAGACCTGTACCCTATTTCACAACTCTGAGTGTGTTTAAATGACTTTCAGATGCAACCTTAATTATGATCAGATCTAAGTCAGATCCCTGGCAATCTGGGGGTATGTGGTGGACATACTCAAGAAGACTTGAGTAGGTAGCAAATGTTGCCCCAGGCCTCATGGATACTTGGCAAAGAATTCATTCCAACAGAAGCAGCCCAGTTACATGTTAGTTGAATCTCACAGACATTATGGGTTACTTGTATGGCAGAATGTAAAATTAATAGAAACTGATTCCATGCTGGACAAGAGATAAATATAATAAATTCTGCCACAAGAAGAGAAAGTCATGTGTGTCTTTTCTAGAAAACAATCAGTTCTGTACATTTAGAACAGGTCTAACCTGAATGGAGGAGAAAGCATCTCAAGAGTGCCCTTCTCAAGCTCAGGTCTTCATTTACTCCTGGTACAGTGGCAAACTGGAAGGAACAGTATAGGGCAGGGTGCAAGTTGACCATATCAATATCATAAGTATGCATAGAATTTGGTCCTGAAACTGGACATACACAATTTATTTCTTAAAATAATACAAACTTTCAGGCTTATAGAAATGTGTGTGTAAAGACTACTATTGTATCAAAACTTGATGTGTAGCCTGGTATAGTAGGATATACCTTCAGTCCCAGCACTCAGGAGGCTAGAGCAGTAGGGTAAGGAGTGATGTCCTGTCTTAAAACAAAATAAAACAAAACAAAAATATAAACAAACAGAAAGAATGATTTGGAAGAAACATTTGGATTTCAGAGCTCCTAACAGATGAATGATAGTCTGTATACACAAGTTTGATGAGGGAGCAGTATGAAATGGAAAGAAATGTTACAGCAATCTAGAACAGCCTCCTACCTTTGACAGTAATAACAGTATATGTTTATGTGTTGTATGTACACATGCTTGCTCATAAAACTGGTATGAAACCATATAAGCATGCAGCAGCAAGTAAACAAGCTTCTCTTCAAGCTGAGCATGACAGGAGAACCCCATATTTATCCTTGTCACAGAGCCTGGGGAGCAGGCTTGAAGTCTTGAGTAAAGTCTGGGTTTAGCTTCAGAAGACCACTTTGTTATAAGTGAAGGGCCTGTCTTTTCACAGCTGCCAGCGAGGCTTGTGATGGCTCCATGCTTCTCTGCCTCAAGTATGTCACGGATTCTTAAGCCATTATATGTTGACTGTGTGCTGTGTACAGGATACATCGTGCCAGGTACCAGGGCTGCAGAACTACTTCATAATTAAGGTCCCCCAACAACTGCAGGCTCAAGTAGACTCACTCAAGTTGTGCCAGGCAGCCTAGTTGAGCAGCAATGTCACTCAAGTAGATTCTAGTGCTTGAGGATCAGTTGATAGCATTTAAAAGAAATTGAAAGTACCCCAAATGTGTGTTGATGTTTCTTTGTCTTCACTCTAGTTCCTAGGTGTGTACTTGGAAATAGTTTGTGATGATAGTAGCTCTGGTTACAAAACCTTCTAGGACAGCGGTTCTGAACCTATGGGTCCTGTGTGACCCCTTTGGCAAAACTCTTCTAAACTTCAAAGTTCTTTACATTACTATTCATAACAGTGGCAAAATTATAATTATGAAGTAGCAATAAAAGTAATTTTATGGTTAGACATCACCACCCGAGGAACTATATTAAAGGACACACATTAGGAAAGTTGAGACCATTGTTCTAGGAAGAGATAGCCTGCCTGCTCATGACAGTTGCCCTATAGATCAGTTGACTGGTGTCCACTTTCACCAAGCAATGGTTTACCTATAAATAAATACAAAAATGCATACACATGTATTTCCTGATGCCTGTCAATTCAAATATTTGTGATTTTTTTTTCTTCCACAGAAAAAGCAAAGGACAAAAGATCTCTCTCGGGTGTTTCATTCCTACAATCCATATGATCACAAGGTAAGAGAAGCATGTGGTTAGTGTGTCTGGGATTAGAGCATTTGACAACAATTGCTGTTCTAAGTACGAAATAAGTAGAGGGAGTGCTTGTTGTGATGCCTCCCAGACCTAGATCACTCTAGTTTTCACTAGTATGTGCTGATTTTGGAATGCATGACCAGTTACATTTATATTTCTATTTTAAAATTTCTTGTAAGTTAAACAGATTTCTATTTCTGAACTGAACTGCTTGTTTGTTTGTTTGTTTGTTTTGGGAGGGTTGTTTTGTTTTGTTTTTTTCTGAGTTAGAATGTGTTACAGGGGCTTGAGCTGTTGCTCTGTGGAAGTGTACTTATCCAGCATGCAGGAAGCCCTGGGCTCATTCCCCAGCCCTGCCCCAAGCCAAGTTCAGCAATAAGCTATCAGTGAAATGTCAGATCTCATAGACAGTTCAGATATTCTCTTGAGATGTAGGTGGTGATTACTATTTTAGTTGATTGATGTTTTCTTTTGAAATACTATGGTGAATGAACCAGGCTTTGGAATGGCGAGAGACAGTTGAAACCTTTACTATCAAATCTTGATTCTCTGTTGTTCTGATACTTGCTGTGTATCAAATAATGTATACAAGCAGCAGCACATGACCTGTTATCTGAAATGCCCTTTCCAAGACTGGCAAGGCAGAAGACTGAGATGTAAGGGCTCCTGTGCACCCTTCTGTTAATTGAGAAAGACCCACAGCCATTCCTGTTCAATTGGTGTGCAAACTTTCCACCCCTTGCATTTGAAGAACTTCAGGTGTTTTTACCAATAAGCATTTCACCACATAATTGTTAAAAAAAAAAAAAAAAAATGGGGCTCCTTTAAAAAATACAAAAATCAGGGGTTGGAAAGATGCCTTGGTAGTTAAGAGCTTTGGTTGCTCTTCTAGAAGACTCTGGTTTAATTCCCAGTGCCCCCATGGTGACTTAAAACTATCTGTATCTCCTATCCCAGGTCATCCACAGTCCTCATCTAGCCTCTATAGGCACTGTACACATGTCGTGCACAAACATACGTGCAGTCAGAAAGCTCATACACATAAAATAAAAAATATCTTTTTAAAATCAAAATTCATGTTTGGTACCAATATTAGAACTCCTAGTACTCTACATTTTCATGGAGAAACATCACAGGTTTTCTGAGTCTTGTATGGAAAGTCTATGCCATGAAATGTTCCAATAACTCCGTTAATTTGAGGTGATTTGAAAAGGAAGCAAACAAATCACACAGGCGAAATGCTACTATAAATTTGAGTCTTTACTTACGAATTTGCAGGCAGACACAATGGGAAGTTTTTCTACCAGCCAAAATGGCTAATGTAAAAAGGTATTCCTCAGTTGAGAATAGAGAGATGTCTGGGCTCAAGAGACAAAACAAATGTGCCAGCAGTTGATGGAACGTCAAAGAACTTAGAGTTTCTAGTGTGTAACAAGGGACTAATTGACTTTAGCACCAGAAAATTTTAATGGCCGTGTTTATGCTTTGTGGAGATGTGTGATACTAAAGACTAGTTTCAGAGTCATGTTTTCCATCCTCAGTCACTTACTTAGCAGAAAGGAGGGATTGGTTGAAAAGAGAGCAGGAGCCATTAACATCTGGAAGTGCTGTGAGAAGGTGAATAATAGTCCTGTAAGAGCACCAGCCCAAGACTGGCCAGACTGCAGTGGGGAGTATCAACCCCCCCCCCCCATGAGACTCTCTACTGAGTATAAGTGCATTGATGACTAAAGTTAGCATTTAAGAACAACAAATTTTCAAAAGCTTTGACAAATCAAAGGTTTCACTTGAGTTCTCTGAATTTTCCCTACTTCTATCATTTTAAAATTCACAGATGAGGGAAATGCCTTTATTCTTTTATTAGAAGTCTTAATGGAGCTTAGCCATCTGTAGCTCCTACTGGCCTCCTCTTCATATCCTTTGTGGCATTGTATCAAAGTCACCTCAGATGATTTTGGCTTCATCTTGTGAGGACGTCATTCTCCTACAAATTAGTCACTGGCAGTGAAGAAGTGAACAGAAATAGTAGATGGAATTCCTTTTGATCTCTGCTCTCAGATTACTAAGTAAATTATTATGAGGAGCTTGCCTGCTAGATGAGTGATTTTGAACCCATAAAAATTGGTCTGTTGGTATTCTCTTTTACTCTGTATGTTTGTAGAGAAGGGGTGAGGTGTTGTAGGCAGCTCCTGGCCCTTTAGCAATCTCCCCGCACTTCCCAAGCCCTATGCAGGTAAATCTTAACCACACTACTTCTGCTTCATCGTTGATCGGAAATGTCCACAAAGACTAGAGCCATAGGAAGACATGATCATGTACTACCTTCTCAGTTGGAGACTGAGTGATTCCCCCCCCCCTACCTTAAATAGATAATAGAGAGTTGTATTTCAAACTACTTTATCATTTTAATTATCCAATTACATTTAGGCAAATCAGTTTTCTAGGTGCATAGCTTTGAGTGTAAAATGTATTACAAGATGTGATTAAAGTTGATTCAAATATCTCATGCTCAATGAGATTTCTGGAGTGATTGTTAGAAAAATATACATGTGTATTGTAAATGAAACCATACACAAAATAAAACATTGCTTGTCTGGAAACTGCTTTAAAAAAAAAAAAATCCCAAGGAGAGGATACGGTGCATGAAGTAAGCTGGGCCATATGTTGACAATTATGGAACCTGAGTGATGGCTTTGTGGGGGTTCGTTCCTCTGTGTATTTTTCTATATGATTGAAACTTTCCATAATACTGGAGCTGGGGGAGTAAAATAAATGCAGGCTAGGTCTGGAAAGTGAATGTGCTCATATTCTTCTCTCTCCGGCTATGCTTTCAATGTTCCTTTTTCCCTTGATGTCCTGTGTGCCAAAAAAAGAAAAACTCAGCATTTCAGGGGGTTCATCATGTTGAGTGAGCTCAGAATGCAACTGCTATGCCTCAGCTGGCGGCGTCATTTCCTGGGATTTCATCCCAAATTACAGTGGGTCAGTGAAATGATAGTCCTGCCTACTGGTGAGTGCTAAAACAGTTGTCATTACAAAGAGTAGTTAGTGTTCCAGCCTGGTCTCAGGGAGTCAGGTGTGTTTGCTTTCCTGTCACCCTCCCCCTCCACCACAGCCAGGCTGCTCCTGCCTAAGCCCAGACAGAGGAAAGTCCCCAGGTTAAACAAACACACTGTTTCAGTGAGGACAGCTCCTTTCTTAATCACACCCTAAAGCTTTTGTGTAGGTGGTAAACGATCACTCAATTTTCTCTTAAATGCTATTGCAAAAAGCAAACAAAGCTGAACAGCAAAGTATGTACCTAAATAGATGTTGGGAAACTTGAAAATGTCACTTGGAACCTAGAGAACTTCATTTTGGACCATTGTCTGTCCATTAAAAAAAAAAAAATTGTTATCAAGAATTTTTCCAATAATAACTTTTTTAAAAGACCATTTAAGCAGAATTGACCAGTGCATGTTCTCTTTTATCCATTCTAAGTGAAGGGAACATCAGGAAAGGCAGCCCAGCATAGCAAGGGATCTGATTATATTTTAATCCATTTTTGCCCTCTGCTATTTTAATATCTAAAGCTTACAGTTTCTGAAAACAGTATACTAACTGCTAGGAGAGGTTTCCCACCTGCAGGCCTTTCAGGGCACACAATATCAGTTCAGAACTGAGTTTTTCCTTCCTCTAAGTCACAGGTAAGTTAGGGCAGGCTATAATTAGAATATTCCTACTTAAATGCAGGTCAATGAACATGCTCAATAGACTGCACGTTTCATCCTGAGGAAAATATTATACACATAAAAGATGCATCTCTCTTTTTCTCTTTGTCTTTCTTTTTCTTGTTAGATTTTTATCGGAATTTATGTGTCCAAGGGAAATCTAGGTTTATTAGTTAAACACAGATGTTTATAATCTGCTAATGTAAAAAAGCCACTATAAAATATGAAACCGCTTTGAAGGAAAAAGTTAGAAAACTTGGTGCAAGTCTGTAGAGCCTTTTACCATCTGCAAAGCTGAGTACATTCTAAATCAGTTCATCTCAGTGGATTAATCTGCTCCCCACTATTGCATCTCTAATGTGTTGTTGCTGTAGCACCCTCTAGGTTTTGCAAGGCACATCTTGACTTTAGCAGAAAGTCGAGTTAAGAATTTTTCTATGTACATAGACATAAGCTAATGGCTATGCTTCAGGAAAAAAATTATTATATATTATCTGCATTTGTTGAAGTGGGTTTTTTCTTTGTCTTTTGGTGATGGCTATAATTTTAATATATATTTCAATATACTGCAAACAAATTGATGTATCTTAGAAAATAGCTGTGTGTGAATGCGCTTGACAACTTCACCTCCCAGTACAAGGAAGGTGAACATCAGTGCTTGTTTCAGCCCAAGATCTTGCTTATGCAGTGATCAGGCTAACTCAAATCTCAGCTCAGAACTGGCAGGGGAACCAACCTGGCCCAGACTGCTCAGAGGACTGTTGAAACCCATCCCCTACCACCACCTCATTTTATCGTCAATCCCTCTCCCACCAACAATCTGTTCTTATGTTTAAATACTCTATCCAACATACATGTCTGCTTGCCCAATCCACAAAGTCAACCCCAACAGCAATTTAGAAAAAGCTAGTTCGGCATTCCAGAGTCCTAGGAAGAAGTGGCAGCCTACCAAATAAGAGCAAGAATGGGCTATAAAGATTAGCATCTGTTAATAAGACCTCTGAAAGTGCAGCTGCCCAGGACCCCAAGACCCAGATACCTAATGCATTTTAACAACCCCAGGGTCAATCATTAGGATGAGTTTGTATCATGAAACATGTTGTTTGAAAACAATGGGGATGTATATATTCTATTTATGGAAACATTGGTGTTTTGGGGGGAAAATATACATGTCTTAAAAACTTTTAGGAAGAGTTCATTCTTAGAAAAGGTTTAAGTGAGTGAGGTATTACCATAAGCAATGTTGAAACACGTGTGAGCAGTTAGATGAGG